AAAAAAGAAAAGAAAAGAAAACCCACATCAGAAATAAAATGTAAAGTATTTTCTAAAACCTTGGTACCCTCTTCCCCAAACAATGAAATACCAGGTGTCCAGAAGCGGTGAAAACAAGGCCGTTTTATTCAAGGGACATTACTCTTGTAAATTATACACCCTGTCCGAGAATTCGAAGACTGTACAGTGATCGCCCTTGACCCTACCAATCGTTTCTCCTCACCAGTTGGTGGAATGCTGGATCTGCAAAAAGCTAGGCGCAGACGCCATGTTTTTACTAGCATCTCGCGATCACCAAAATAACAAGTAAATTGAATGTTTTCCTTGCCGATCGATTAACCGCCAAAGTCGGCTCATTTTCCGCGGGGTTTTGCGCACGCGTTCACTAGCGGTTTCTAACAGCGCAGCGAATTCCTTGCACGGGTTTGATCAATGATGGCCTATCGAGCGTGTAATCAAAGTCTTGTCTGTGTCCCTACGGTTAGGGAATGATAAATGCGAGATTTGATGGGAAGCCTGTTGTTTGTTCAAATTTTGCAGCATTTCCTCCCTTCGCTCGAAGAACTTGTCTCCTTCCTTCGTTCTTTTTTTCTTAAGTTCGAAGGTCTACAAACAACATCTTTTTTTGTGAAATGAGTTAATGTTTTTTTCTGGTTTTGTTTTTTTGTCTTTGTTTTTCTCCTAGCCAAAAAGGCGTCTCATACGCGCTAGAGAAAGTAGGAGTTTTTGACGATACTTATAAAATCAATGTGAGAGGTCCTGATGGTTTTTATTTATTCTCGTTTATTTTCCTCTCGTGCTTCTTCGAGATGCTACAGTCGTAATGTACTTGTTTTATTCATGCCCATCTCCTGTATATCAATATTTATATCCGCTTTTCACATTCTCCCTAAGACACACGATTCCTCTAGGCTTTCTTTGATAATAATATTATTACTTTGTGCATAATGAATTTAACATTACGTACAGTCTGTTAAAATTTCTCCATAATTTTCAACCTTCTACAATTGCTGAATCCTCAGATTTGGGTCTCTGGTATACCCCCCTTTCCCCTCCTTTCCGCCTTTCCGTTTCCTCCTTGACACCTATATACCTCATGGGGGCGTAAAACAAATACTTTCACGTCTTATTAACCTTAATAATGTAATGTACTCTTTTCTGCGTCTTTTATTCGATGAATTTATTATGTTTTACATCAGTTATTCCACCGCTCCGTTTTTCAGCTTTTCTTAGGAATCAGTTTTTTGATGGAGTAAAACGAAAAAGAGGCATGGTCATTATTTTTTGGTCGTGTATACAGACAGACAGAACGATGGAATCGTTATTTATTGTTTTGCATCTGATACTAATAAAAATGAATTCAAGTTAAGATACTGTTATTGCGATCAGAACTACGATGTCCAATTTCATCAGTGGTGATATGCTGTTCCTAAAAAGGCTGTCTTGTCATTTGCCATAAAATTTAATCGTAATGCCCACAAACAATAGCTCCAAGTCTTTTTATGCTCCAAGTCTATTTATGCTCAGAAAGTATTGGTGATGACAAATAAAGCATTACTGACGATGTTGTCCGCAATTCTTCCGATCTGTAGATAGTATGAACAGCATTTAGACCTTTGAGCAGTAGCTATGACAGCAACACCACGTAGAATTAGGTAACGTAGCTATATTGTGTGAGACCTACGGACAAAATGAGTTACTTCACTGATTTTAGCACTGTGGGCATAGATAGATCCGTCAAATGCAGAGGTTAGGTCTGAACGATTTATTAGTTTGAAAGGATAAAAGATGTTTGACTTGAAAAAAAATGACATCAGTTGGAAATCTACAATTTGTAAATTATTATTATTAT